ATTCTCCTTGTTTTTTAATGTTGTTAATGTGTTTTCCCACCTAAAAGTATGGATCTAAGGCAGGATAAATTCTACCTTGTAGACCTATAGTGTCCCTAAAAGTTTTCAGCACCTCGCATTTACTGGTGAGATGAATATCATCAGCACCCAGTGTACACAATACATAGCCTTAAACCTAATAGCTCCCACTATGCGTCTACTGCTTTCTCGCATTGAACCAAAATGATGAGTTCAATAACTATCTATGGTACAAAGGGAATATTTGTTAAAAGGATTTAATATTTCAAATGGTGGATGAGATAACTGAGGTAGTGTAGTATGTGATATTCTTGAGGGGGGAAGAGTGGAAGAGGAGCTGACAGAGATTGGCTGTTGGTTGGAGAAAATTTGGAACCAAAATCCAAGAAAATAGAAAAGAGAGAGAAAGAATACAAACAAAGACAAAAAATTAAAGATATAAGAATACAAAAAAAGCAAAACACTATTCATATATCATTGTCCTCCACACACTGATGCATAAAAACATCCTGTTCCAAATATGGTAGAGATATTAGCAAATTGAAAAATAAAATAAAATAAAATAAATCTTGCTGGAAAGTCAAACTGTCTCTATCAGTGTTCAACATTTTCTCAGCCTTGTCTCTGACATCTCTCGGGATCACCAGGCCCAGATCAGCCCTCGTAGACCTTGTCACTATCCCACTAGTCTGGGCTTCACATATCTCAGGATCGGCTATGTTCCAAGATCTCAATGCTGCTCCTACATGCAAAGAGACCACAGGGATACACTAACGCAAAGGAGCAACCCTGAGATGCAGCAGCAAGACAAGGGCCACCAGAACTCTCAGCAGGAGGACTCCAGGCTCCTCCAAACCCTTAGGTACCTCCACACTGGACCTGCAGGTCCCAGCTGGAGTCCTCAGACAGAGGCTCTTGTGGTAATAAATCTGCTGACACCCAGGCCCCAGGCCTTGGCTGGTGTCCCAAAATGGGTGTGGCTACATGTGACCAAACCTGGAGTCTCCCCCCAAAGCAGTCCTCTAGGCCATGGTAGCAGCAGTCATGGTGGTGGTTGTTGGCAGCAGGCAGTGTGTCAGCAATAGTGGTGGCTGCAGCAGTAGCTGCAGCTGCAGCTGTGGGGACAGTGTCACCAGTTGATCTTCGGGGATCAGCAGCAGTGTCAGCTTCAGCTGTATCTGGGGCAGCAGTTTCTTCTGTGGCAGCAGCACCAGAAAGAAGACCATAGGTGATCTCAGGCTGGCAGCAGTGGAATCAGAGGCAGCAGCAATGGCAGTAGTGGTGCAGGTGGCGGTTGATTGACAGGGGACTTCTGGTTCAGCAGCAGCAGCATGGAGGTCATGAGGGAATTGGCATCAAGGTAACTGAGGCTGGACCCAGAGAAGAGACCTCCGGGCATGGCAGTGGCATCTGTGGTATGACATCTGCCTTAGCCTGGATCTTTTGGAGTTACATCACTACATCCAGGATATCCAAAAAAGCAAAAATCATTTTTTTTGGATCCTACCTCTCTAGCTGATCAAATACTTGAACAAGAATCCAGGATTTTAAAATAACAGCTCATTATTTGCAAAGTAAAAAGGGGGATATGTGGGGGCCATGCCTGAGCTATTTGAATAGCCTCAACTTGGCCTTGGAGTGTAAGAGAAGTATAAGAATTGGAATTTCCTAAACCTCAGTAGCAGAATCTCTATTCCCCAATGACAGTAGCCTCCCAACCACAGTTGTATAGGTCTCTCCACACATGGTGGTCTCAGACTTTCCACTTCTGTCTGAGGGGATTCAGACTGCATTGTCTAAGGAAACAGAAATGCCACTCCTGAGACTATTGCCCTGCAAGACATTTTCTTTTCCAGTGTGGAAGCTGACCTTCAAGGTCTAAGAGCTGTCCTGCTCTTGATTTGAAAACTTATGTTTGTGTTGTGTGATTTTTCGCTGCCTTCTTCTTAGTTTAATGTGGCAGCCAGTCCATTTAAACCCAGTCTGTCTCATCTGTGAGGGTCACAGGTGAGAGATAGCTTTTCTCTCCTTTCCCTTCATCAAGTTTCTGTGCTTGAGAATCCATCGCTCACATTTCACAAGTTCCCAACCACACCGCTCTAGGTCTGCATGTGGTGTGCTCAGGATATGGTTGACTTCTAACCCTCACAAGCTAGTGGTTTCCTTTGCTTGCTTGGTTGAGCTCAGGACGGGGAGCTTTTATCTGCAGACAGCATTGGGAAAAGATCTTACTGAGTGTCCAGATTCCAAATCTATTGGTCTCCCTGGATCCCCATCTAGCTTAAAAGGGGGGTAGGGTGATAACTAGGATGATCAATTTTAATTACTTACCATCTGAGTCTGCTATCAAGAGGAGAGGCATGCAGGAAGGATGCATTCTAAAGCCTAGCAATCCTCTTCCCCCCTCTCACCTCATACGTTGAGGCCCTCCACAGTCTCAGTTACCCTCTCTGAGGCAGACTAATTCTTTCCTCGGATCATCATTGGAGGGGCTTCCTCCCTTCTGCCCACCTAGTCTCACTCAGGGGACACTTTCCATCCTCCTACCCACACCTACAACATAAGGGTTCAGACTTTCCCCTCAGCCACTCTTAGTGACACACCGCTTTCTTCTCTGTTTAAAACTTCTTCTGCTCTATTATGCAATACACACTTTCCCATGAAAAAGCATTTGGAAAGCGAATATAAAAGGAAAAAAAATCCAATCCACCTAAACTTTCATTCTCCTCAACCAGCATTGGTCTTTTGATGTATTTTCTTCCAAGTTTTTCTATGCATATGTGTCTTTTGGAAATACTTGCCATCGTACAGCAAATTGAATTTTACACTCTACTTTCACTTGCTATTTTACAACACTTTCTAGGTTTATAACCTGTTTGTGTTCACTTAACCTTTATCTGTGGCCTGACTCCAATTTGTTTCCAGAATTTTACTAATGCAAATAGTGACACAGTGCATATTTTTGTATGTGAATTTTATAATGTCTTTTTCCCTATAATTATGCATTTGTTGGTATTGTTATAATGCCTTTTAAAAAAGACAATAAAGGATGCTATTCACTGAGGTCTATTGTCTATTGTCATAGACCTCAGTAAAGGAGAGACATAGGCCTCAACTGCCCTCTCACTATGCTTTTTGAGACAGATAATTCTCAATCCAATTTTTGCTCAATGAGCCACCATTGTGTTTAAATTCTTTCAACACTCTGAGGGAAGCTAATTCCCACTTTCCCTCTTCCTTTTTCTCCTCTTCACTATAAATCTTTCTTTCAAGGACGGATTCTCTATTTTAGTGCTTCCATTTCTTATCCTAAGTTGCTTCTAGGAAGCTGTAACCATTTTAATGAACCATTCCTTTAATTTTCATGTTCCGTGTATGAATTTCCATGTATGAAACAAGTGTACCAAGTGCTTACACTTGTTTCATATAATCCCCACAGTGAAAGAAAGCAGAGGCTCCCAGAACCCAAGTCATTGGCCAGAGTCACTGTGCTAGTGGGGGAATCTGAATCCAGGCTTACTTCCAAAGCTATTATCCTTTCCCCCATTCTGCACTGACAAGAGGTACCCATCTCCCTCAAGCTTTGAGCCCCGGCTTCCCACCTCCTCTGCAGAGGTAGATGGTGGTGGAGTGGGCACTTCTTCTTTTTTTCTCCTAATCTCTATTACTGGGAGGTTTGGGTAGGTGCATCCTGGTAAGATCTGAACCATGCCCCCCCGCCCCCGGGAGAGTCAGGCAAACACCTGAGCTCTGGTTAAGGTGAGGCTTCATTCAGAGAGATTATATGACCTCAGTTTAGGGACACTGAAAATTAATTTGTGACTTTTCTTTTTTGGTCAGTTAGACTACTGGGTCCTGCCACATCCTGTGCGGGTGGTAGAAGTGAAGGTTCCTCTTGGTGGAGCGGGCTGCCTGCGGGTTAAAAGCTAAGAAAGAGAAAAATGGTGAAAAAAACCCCACAGGACACAAAAAGTGATTTTAAAAAGCGGGGGCAGGACCGACCAGCCAATCTTAGGGATTGAGCTTCCATGCTGAAAAGATACCAGCAAAAGCAAGATGGAGCCCGTGCTTGTTTTATTTATATGGGGGGAACATCAAAGATTTCCATGGAATGTTCTTTGCCAGATAAAGGAGGAGGTGGCTGTCCAGTTTACAACAGGTTATGCCAACTCTGGAGCTACTGGAGCAGTCTCCCTGGTAGAGTGGAGATAGGGTTCATGTGCATTGGGCAGTTCATTGAGTGGCAGGAGCCACAAAGTAGTTCATTATGCCAAACCTGAATCTCCCTGGCTCCAGACTGAGGGAAGGTCTTCAAGTCATTCAGGGGTGGCTCCCTGCAATTGGGGAGTTCACATTCTTGCCTGAAGATACATCTGGCTTTGGCATGAGGAGGAGCAATGATGTAACTTGGCAAACAGCAAATAACAATTTTTATTAGACTGACATGACATGGTGCTTTCTTTATTTAAATTTAAAAAAAATTTTTTTTTGTAATTGTAGATGGGCAGCATACCTTTAATTTATTTGTTTATTTTCATGTGGTGCTGAGGATCGAACTGGGTGCCTTACACATGCTAGGCAAGTGCTCTGCCGCTGAGCTACAGCTACAGCCCTTTATTTAACATTTTGACATTTTGATTATTGAGGAGTTTTTGCACTGTTTTTGATCTTCAAAATGATTGTAGTAAAATATCATTTAATCTTAATGCCAAATATTTTGGTATGCACCCTTCCCCTCTGCCCCCCTAAGTTTTACGCTTTAGTGTCTCACCTCATTTCAGGTCCTGAGGATGTGGCACATTAACATAGCTGTGGTAACATCAGTGTGGGTAACACAAGTACCCTGTTGGTATTGGAAAAGTTTAAAGTCTTGGCTTCCATCTTAGCCTTATCATAAATAGTTCTTTCCAAGTGATGCTATCCGCCCACTTCCCCCCCCCACACCACTGTTGTAAGAATTCAAAAAAACACCCCTTCCTCAAAGCATGATTTTATTAAAAGGAACACTCCCCACCATTCCCCCAGAAAATTGTAGCAATAAATACAGCATTTATCATGCTATGGTTCGGGCAATCCACACCTGCCCAGCTCTGGGTGGGCCTAGCCAAGTCCCTCATGGTGGTGATGGGTTAGTTTCCACACCTACTCCTATTTTTAACTTTTACTTCCTCTCACATCAGCCTGAGTTCATTCTCTTTGTTTTTTACTTGCAAGTTTATTTTCTCTTAACTTGGCCATTTTATATTCAAATGTTTTCCCTCCCAGATGTTTTCTCTTTTCACAAATTTAAATGCACAATGTGTCCACCTTATTTCATACCCCAGCCCTGGGGCCCCAGTTCCCTTCCTGGTATCTCCATTCAAAACACGTATCAGGAACACATCAAGTGCAGTCTTACTTTTCACCCTCCCCAAGTCTTTACCATTTCACTAAAGAGAAGGTGAGTTCTATAGGGGTAGAGATTGTGTCTGACTTATTTGTGAAAGTGACCTAGCAGAGCTTATTAATAAATATTGAAACACATTTTGAAAGTTTACAAGTAATTCATTCACCAGGCCCCACATCCCAACTCTAGGTGTCATACTAGATCCAAAATGTGCCTGTAGAGTTTTTGCATCGAGATAGGCTCCTGTATAGACCTTAACAAGGCCTAGGCTTTTATTTGCAGCTTAGGAGTACAAATTAAGCCAGGCCATGGTGGGGTGCACAATTCTGTGTCCTTGTTTGTGTATTCAGAACTTATACACAGGAATTTAAGCCTCACATAACTGGCCATAAAAGTAGTTTATAAGTGATCAGGTTCATGAGAGCATGAGTTCATGGTTCATCTGCCCAATTAAGTTCAACAGTGCCCCATACATAGTGAATGATTCATTCATTCATTTTTGGCAGCTATACCTGCTGGTGCCAGACACACCTGTCTGGCCTGGTCTTCTTGCCGTCCTGGCAACCAGACTCTTGGTATGTTCTGTCTGGAATGAGACTCCAAGCCCTGTCCTGGGGCCATCATTAATATGACCGAGGCAGATATTGATAGGCATTTACATGTTAGTAGAGATATTTAGCCTTTTCTTGAGATTGACTGATAAATTCACAGTCACATTCCATATGGGAAGTGATATAGATTCTAGGTTTAAAGAGAGTTCTCAGTAGTTGGTAGAATTATGAACTCCTAAACTCAAAGGTGTATGCTTAGGAATGGTTTCTTCCAGGTATTCTGGACAAGAAGATGAATTTCTTTGTACTTCCTCTGGAGTGTGGTTTGAGGGAGCATGCTGATGTCTAAATGACATTCTCATAGGTAAACAGCCTGGGTGTGTCTGGCGTGATGGTCGGTGAGCAGGGATTCTCCACCTGTAGGCGACATGAGGAAGCAGAACGCTAGAAGTGGGCAGGGATCTGGGTCTACCATAGAAGACCCTGCATCCCAGACACTCACTATGTCCAACGGTACCCAACCCGAACCTCCACCATGCTTGCTCCCACTGTTTAATCCCTCCTAGTTTAGAGAAACTATTCTTTAGGATAAACCCATCTTTATCTTGCTGAGTACTTAATGAACTGAACTTATAATCATTCACAGAAGCATGGCCAATGAATTTGACATGTCACTAAGCAAACTGCTTTCAAGATCCCCATCTATCAGTTCTGTTTGAGGAAGAGAAAGGAGTTAGGAAGGTACAAGTGCTCCTCCCACACATCATCTGTGAAAGAATGAGCCTTAGGTCTTACCACGTTGAACTAGGGGAGGGCGCAAACCAGACGTAACATAGTTAGACCAAAGGGAAAATGGAAATCTCTCTCCTAAAACAGAATTCTTTTCTAAATTCCCCATATTCTTGTGTCACCCCCTAAGCAAATGGGATGGGGGGAACTATCAGAGGTACATTTTAATGCCAGTGAATATGAGATTCCTGAGGTCCAAGATTTTTAACCTAAACACGAACCAGGAGAAGGGATAGGACAATTTAGATGAAACTCAGCTCTAAATCTCTTACCATTTTTGGTATCTGCACAGTGGAATAAAGTGTATTTAGTGGATCTTCTGCTGGATTAATTTTCTATAAAAAACAAGCAACAAACAAAAAGAATCATCACCTACCCTGGGTCATGTAGAAAATACCAGAGATGGCACACACATTATCCTAGTGACTTGGGAGGCTGAGGCATGAGGTTCTCAAGCCTGAGGCCAGCCTCATCAAATTAGAGAAATAAAATAAAAATAAAATATAAAAGGGACAGGAGTGCTAGAGGGCCTCTGGGTTCAATCCCTAGTACCACAAAAAATGAAAAAAAGAAAGAAAAAAGAAATAAAGAAAGAAAAGATCCAGAGAGAGACTCAGGGTCACAAGAGGGAGAAGTGGAGGTGGGAGAAGATGAAGAGAGGGTTCTGGAAAATGGATGGCTCAGGGGAAGTGCTCTAACTGGTGACTGTGATTACAGTGATTATGAATAACATTTTTAGGAAGTCACAGCATTGATTTAATTCATGTTTTTATGCTCTTAGGTTTGTTTATTGCATTATTCATCCTGTGAAATTAAAATGAATGCCAAAAATACATAAAATATCTAACTCTCACGAACTGTGACCCTCCAGGAGTCAGCCCACAGGAAAGAAGCATTTCTTGAGCAATGCGTCTTCTGACAACATGACTCAAACATCACACCAAAGTCACACTCCACTGCACACTGCCTTATGCAAGAGTAACCAGGCCTCTGGAGAGGAGACTGTGAACTGTGGGGAGGAAGGGTGACTCATGTAACCTTCACAGTATGAGCGTTACCGAGGGAGGAGAATCAGGTGCCCCAGGAGTGAATTCACTTCTACCCAGAAGTAGATTCATAAAGACTTGGGGGAGATGGCGTTGCCTTGGGTTTTAAGGACTATCCATCCTAATTCCTCCTCCCCATTTCCATATTAACCAAACCCATGGAAAAAAGAATCTTCGGTAAAACAAGGCGAGTCTCAGAGAGGTGAATCAGGTCCCAGGAAAAAAGGGAAAGTACTCACATGGGCATCGCAAATTGTCTCATACACTGTTTTCTCTTCAGAATGGGGGCAGACATTGGGAATTTCCTGATGAACGTCCATTCTTTTTTCCCCCTCCATGGGCTCTGAAACCAAGTTGAGAGTGAATGAAAGTCTGCCTCTCTGACCACTCCTCCTCCCTCTTGGCCCACCATCCCACCTGGATGGCCCACTTAAGAGGACCAGCCATCTTACTAATTCAGGCTTTTTGGGATTTTCAGGGTTAAAATTAGGAAAGTCCTAAAAAAAGAAATCAGGATGAATTAGTTGCCCTTGTAACTTCACTTCCTGATCTCTGGGCCGAGGTGGCCAAAGTGGGAAGCAGAGAAGGTCAGAAAGGCTTTCAGAGTGCTCCTAACAGGGAAGGGCGGTCTCAAAGTCTTTCAGGTCCCTTCCTGACATTGGACACGAGAAGGTAAATCCGCAGGGCTTAGGGACGCAGAGAATGGGGTGCCACCTGGAGAGAGACAGAGCCCAGCTTCTCCAGGGGGAATGTGTCTACACTGCAGTGGGGAGGAAAGGGAGATCTTGGAGTTGAACCCATGGAGAAGACTGGAACTGGTTTGGGGACTCTGACAAGGATGAAGCTAGGAAGGACTGGTTGGAGGGTATCGGTCTGTGGAGGCATCAAAGTTGGAGGCCATCACCTCCCAGGTCAGGGAGCAGAGTGAATAGTATAGAGCTTGTGCCAAGAGAAGGGCCACCTCAGTGACTCTCTCTGAAGGAAGGAGAGGAGTGGGCACTGGAGTGGGGCTTTGTCCTAGGAGAGAAGGCAAGGACTGCAGCTCTTGCTCTCTCTCTCTAATCTGGAATGAAGAGTGTTGGCTGACTGTGTGCTTCTTGAAGGCAGACACGATGACCTCTTCAGCTCAGCATCGTGTTAGCACCAGGCCCCATACACCACTCGGTACATGCTCGAGAAATAAATGAGGGATTCAGTGGATGAATGAGGATGAGGACAAAAAACATACGTGCCCTACCTTTTCTTCTCTTCATCCGCATAGTCAAATGGAACATCAACACAAGGGTGCAGAGTGTGAAGACCACCAACAGAAGACACAGCAAGGTGAGGAGGAAATTGGAACCACCACCATCAGCATCTTTAAAGAGAGAATGAGTAGAGGCCTGAAAAGGGAGCAAGCCAACTAGGAAATATGACCCAGAGTTTAGAGCATCTGCCACTTTCTTCCCAGCCTGATGACTTTCCACAGGCCACCGGTTTTCACACAGGGTCTGATCTTTGGGGACACAGAATTGAAGAAGGTATAGTTACCCAGACCAGAGGCTCCGAAAAAAGAAGGGACAATCACCTCTACAGAGCTTCCAGGCAAGGATGGGACTTGAGGAATTACTGCTGATGGGGTTCCTGGCCGTGCAGATGAAGACCATGTCCATTTCTCCCAGTCTCCAGGATATGGGAAGGATGGAGCCATCATAAGACTTGTTGCTTCTCTGCCCCAGGACATTCCAGCTGTATGTCACATTCTCTCCTCCCTGTTCCATGGAACATGTCAGATTAGTTATGCAGGTGCCATTCTCATTGTTCTGCAGACCCATGGTGACTTTAGGCTTTGACAGGCACTCTGTGAAAGACAAAGAACAACCAGGGACGGAAATTATGCACACAGCTCTCCTTTGTCTGAATTACCCTTGGATAACTTGAACCTCAGTCTCCCCAAGGAGCTTCAGAATGCAGAGAAAACAGCAATTCAGAGCAGAACCTGGGAAAGAGAACTACCTAGTTCTTGCCCACCACTGTATAGCAATAACCATGGTGACAATAACTGCAATAATAAAAGAAATGATTATGTAACAATAATGCAGCCATCACTTATTGTCCTGAGGCTTCCTTGAAGAGCCTTCTACTTTTATTCTCCAGGAGAGAACAGTATAGGAGTGGCTCTCCATTGTGCTTACTCTTCCACTCTCCAAGGATGAGCAGTTGGTTGATTGGTGAGGTCAAGTCTGCTGTCCATCATTTTCTTTCTCTACTTACAGATTTGAGCCATTAAAGATTGGGGACATGGAACTGAAGAAGGTATGTACTCTTTTATTCCCACCCACAGCTAGTTTGCCTGTAGAATATACATCTTCTGTTTCCTTTGACCATGTCCCTATGGAAGACATGTAGATTGAGGTGCATGGTCTTGGAGGCCCATTTCCTGGTCTCCCTGCTATTGGAGCTGGGTGAGTGAGGCAAGTACTCTTTTTGTAACTGAGTGAGTAATTATTTTGTAAATTTGACTTCCCTGGGTGGTGGGTTCCTAAATCTAGATTTGGAAGGAGATATTTCTCCTACTGAGCTATACCAGAAACAGAGTGGATATTTTTACCAATCTTTTTTTTTTTTTTTTTTTTTTGAGACGGGGTTTTCTATATGGTATAGTCTGACCCCTAACTTCTGGGTTCAGGTAATCTTCCTGCCTCATGTTCTTGAGTAGCTGAAATTGCAGGTATGCACCATTATACCCAGCCTTTATCTTCTTTTTGACCCTTATGTCTTTTCCAGAAATGCTTAGAATCTTTAGTGGAAGGGCTGGGATTGACACTTATATCCAATAATCTTCCTAAAGTAGATATTGCTTTTTTCTTGGATATGGAAAATAAGATTCAAAGAAATTAAATAACTGGGCTAAGCCCAGGCACCTAGTAAATAGAGAAGCCAGCATTTGACTTAGATCTGTGTGGTTGCCACTTCTCATGTTGCCCAAGTACTACACCATACAGTCTCTTATAAAATATTTGAGTAAGCAGAGGCCTACGAGGTCAGCTTCATCCATGCATTCTCTCCTACATTCTTTTTTTTCTCTTTATTTTACTTATTTATTTTTACGTGGTGCTGAGGATTGAACCCAGAGCCTTGCATGCGCTAGGCGAGCACCGTACCGCTGAGCCACAACCCCAGACCTTTTCTCCCATATTCTTGCCAAGCATTTATCCATCCTTTTCTGGAACATTTGCTGTTGTCAGGGAGTGCACCCTCTCACCATGGCACGCTACCCACCATTAGGACTGATTCTGCTCACCGTAGACTTGTAGCCCATATTCCTGGGTGAAGGATGGCTGAGAGGATAAGAGGTTCATCTGCACACGGTAGACCCCTGAGTCATTCTTCTTCAGCTGGAGGAGTGTCAGAGAATAGTCACTGTCTGAGAAGATCATCCTTTCCTTGTTCTGACTTCGGGTCATAAGGATAGTGGCTTTTTTGTCTTCCACACCCGGCTTTATGATGGCAAGTGGGTTTGAATTGAAGAGCCAGACAATACTGTCAATGTTCTGTATTGAAGCTTCCACAGGAAAGGTCACAGATCCACCAAGGACACCAAACTTCTCCTTCAGGGCTCCAGAGGCTGCAGACACAGAAAATCAGAAAATAAGTCTGAGTCCCTGCCTTTGCCACCAATTACTCACCATCCCCTTTGGGTCCTGGGAAGATCCTGAAAAATTCTCATCTAACCCAAGCAGCCCCCAGGAAGCACTTCAGAATCTCAATCGCATGAAATAATTGAGATCAGAACTCTCTGCCTGCAAAGGGGGATTGCAGATGACCCATCCATTCCTAGATACCTCCGGTTGTAAAGCCCAATGCCACCCTGGGCAGGTCCCTGTGAGTGGACAAGTGGAGAGGTTGCTGTCCTTCCTTTGGTACTGCCACATTGCCCCAGAGAGAGAGCTGAGTGCAAGCTGATAAAGTAAGCCTGCTGAACATGGGCAGTGGTTTGCAATCATGGATCAGGATGGTGAGAGCTAGAGCCATGTGTTCTTAGTGATAAAAATAGTGTATCCCAAACTATTAGGAGTCACACTAGAGGGTTACTTCCACAAGAAATTTTTGTTTCGCCAAAGTCTCGCTTCACCCCAGAGAACATGACTTCAAAAACCCTGGCCTCAAATTTGCTATCCTTCTGCCTCAGCTTCTGTGCCTTGATCCTATACATTTTTACATTTATTGACTCTTCTTCCTTAAGGAATCATTTTTATCAATGAGTATGTGACTCCAAGTGAGAAACAGTTAAGAATGACTGCTCAAGGGACTTTTAGAGCAGCCAAGCAGACGTTTTCAGTGAGGGGGTATGAGGACTCATTCATCTTCTACCTATTAAAATTTAAGGGAAAAAATCAAGAATGACTGGGGCAAGGAGACTTTAGATCATGTCCAACAGTCTAAAAGCACTTAGTAGGATCGTATTTATCATTTTATTTGTTGTTTTTAGATACACATGGCAGTAGGGTGTACTTTGACATATTATACATACATGGAGTGCCACCCATTCTAATTGGGATCCCATCCTTGTGTTTGAACATGATGTGGGGTTACACTGGTCGTGCATTCGTACATGAGCATAGGAAAGTCATGTCTGATTCATTCTACTGTCTTTCCTATTTTATTCACTCTTAAAACAACCCTTAAAAGAATTTTTTTATAAACCCATCTTACAAATCAGGAACATGAGGCACAATGGATAAACCCCTTACAACTACATACATGATAAGTGAGGTGCTTTGCTCCACAGGCAGAGACTTTAAAGCACATATTGTATGGACGAGAAAGCAACATAGCAGAGACCTTATACAAGGTTCCTAGAAATGAGCAATCTAAAATTAAATACTTATAGGCCTTCTCCTTAAAAGAACAAAACCCAAAGTTATGTTCTCTTCTGCCTCTTAACATAGTTTACCAGGTTAAACTTTTTTAATGCTTTTTAATTTTATTTCTATTTTGGTACTGGGCACTGAACCTAGAGATGCTTTACTACTGAGCCACATCCCCAGTCCTTTTTTTAAAATTTTAAGGCAAGGTCTCATTAAGTTGCCCAACCTGGCCTCAAATTTGCCATCCTTCTGCCTCAGCCTCTGTAGTCATTGGGATTAGTTGCCAAAAACACTCAGGGTCACTCCAGGGGATCTGGGCTACACGAAATAACCACACAAGAGACAGAGATACCTTCTTCTTTGGGGGTCCTATGATGGCTCCTCTGACCTTAAGGGTCCACAGAAAGAGAGTGAGAGCCAGCATGTGCTAACCCTTTTATTGAGGAGAAGCCATTCAAATGAGGCAAGGGGTCAGGGGGCTGAGTCTAGCTTTATGATGTCTGCTGTCAGCAGGTTGACTGACATCTAGCAAGGCCACACCCAAAGGCAGAGCAAGAGAAGGGGACACACAAAGGGCTTTTCTGTGGGACATTCTATCCCAAACAGGGCAAAGGGGTAATATCACAAAGGAACAGATGAGCGCAGCTGGATCCATGGGGCTGCAGGAAGGCATGCCTACGCATGAAGATAGGTTTTGCTACTTCGAGGATCAGAGCAGTGTCTAGGGCCAATATGAATGTGGCCAGATCACTACAAAAGTGACCTTCAGAGCCTCTACCTATCACTAGAAGGAAAATGCTGATCACTTAGTGTGACAGCCCCCCACAATTAGTTGGGTTCAAGTTAAAAATTTTAAAAGGAATTTCATTAATTTAGTCACGGAAAGCCAAAAGAAACGAAGGCAATATTAACAAGCCATACTGGCTGAATGTTTTCTCTGATACGTGGATGCTAATTCACAATAAGGAGGGTGGCCAGAGAAGAATAGAGTTAATTTAGATGAGGGAAGAAAGGGGGTTTGGGGGGTAGGAAGGATGATAGAATGAATCAGACATTATTATCCTATATACTTGTATATGACCGGTGGGATTCTACATCATGTACAGCCAGAAGAATAAGAAATTATACTCCATTTGTATATGATGTATCAAAGTGAATTCTATAGTAATGTCATGTATAACTAATTAGAATAACAACAACCAAAAGCCTGGGCTGGGCAGGTGGCCTACACCTGTAATCTCAGCAGCTGGGGAGGCTGAGGAAGGAGGAATGCTAGTTCAAAGCTAGCCTCAGCAACTTATTGAGGCCCTAAGCAACTCAATGAGATGCTGTCACTAAATAAAATACAAAAAAGGGCTGCAGATGTGGCTCAGTGGTTAAGTGCCCCTGGGTTAAATCCTGAGCAAAAAATAAAAAATAAAAAAAAGCCACACCGTAGGATGCTGACAGCTCTATTGATTGCCAGGGTTATGGCTTGCCTGGATCCTATACATTTTTATTTTATTTTATTTTTTTTATTGGTTGTTCAAAACATTACAAAGCTTTTGACATATCATGTTTCATACATTAGATTCAAGTTGGTTATGAGATCCTATACATTTTTACATTGGTTGACTCTTCCTCCATAAGGAATACTCCTAAATATTAATTATAATTTTTGATGGAGTTGGTATGAACATAAATAGAGCCTTGGGTGTTTGGACTGTTTGCTTAGTTCTGGTGGCGGCTGAGGTGGGGAGCAATTCAGCAGGAACCAATACTTGTGCTGTGACTAGCAGGGTGACATGGAGGGGCCACTGTGAGCAAGATTGTCTCCCTCTCACAGACATGCATGACTTCCCTGGATCTCGCTCAGTGCCTTGCAGGGAAACCCACAGACAGATCTATATCGGCTCTAACCTTCAGACTGCAGGATGTAACTTGGAATTTCTTGTAAAACACTCAAGGAAGAAATGAAGGCAATCTGGAAAAGTGCTCACTTGTGGTAGAAATGAGAATTTGTAACTTATGTGCTATGTGCATTTAAATAAATGGATTAACATTTTTTAAAAAATGAATATAATCCAAACTATATTCATTACATTTATTATTGTTATGTTCATTTTCTTTTTCTTTCAAAAGAAATTTAAACAACGTTGTGTGCCTAATTGGTCCTGAGAAACCCACCAAGCACTGAGTTTCTGTTGGTTTAACAACTTACTCTCTTACCACAATATTTTCTACTACTCCTGCACTGATGTCACTCATGACAAGGAAAAAAGACAAATTTCTGTGCTGGACCTCTCGGTACTAACTTCTCCAGATATCCAAAATCACTTCGTGAGTGATTTGTTTCCTTGATCCCTATTAAAATTCAAATGTTCTGGAAACAATTTCCAAATAGTAATAGTTGCCATGTAATAAAGGTTTACTCTGTGTTAAACATATACTGTAAGATTCTGCCTAATACCTGAAGCAATCCTGCAAAATTAGGCTTTCTGGCCCATTTTGGGCTACTTCATTAAAAAAAAAAATAAAAAAAGTTTTACTGAAACATAGCCATGTGTCTTCATTTACATGTTGTCTATCTATGGCTGCTTTTGCAATTCTAAGGTTGAACTGAGTATTTGCAGTAGAGATCCTATTGATGAAGATCACATCGCCCGCAAAGCTTAAAATATTTACTATCTTTTTTAAAAGCAAAAGTTTGTTAATATCTGACTTCATAAGAATTCTGAGATATAAATAAATAGATAGATAGATAGATAAATACATAAATTGACAAATTAAGTAACTTATCCAAGGGGCATAGCTAGTGGGTGATGCTTTGAGGACTTAACTCAATGTCACTTCAGTTCTGGGAACTTGGACTCAATCTGGACGTGTCACTCAATTTGAAAGTACAGTGGCATCAGTGTCAACTTTAGTTCTTTTCCTTACTCCCTTTTCCCACGCTCCTACAGTGCTCAGGTGTCAAGTCCAAAGTCCTTGGACATGGTTGAGCCCCATTTCCCCTTCACGTTCTTTAGTGAGTCACCCCCATACACAAGCTGCTCTGCCAGAGCTCAGGGTGAGGAACTCAGATGTGGTGGACCTACTCCTTCGATTCCAGGTTGAAGGCCTCTACCAACTTTTTGCCAGGTTTATGTCCAAAAGTACTAGTTTCTCTTCCTGGATAAATGTATTTTAGGAGAAAGTTCCCATTTTTTTTAAAACTTTTCTCTCTCTACTTTACCAGTCAGCACATAATGTATGTGTTGGTTCCCTGAAGATATATCAAATTATCCAGCCAAGTAATCTGATTTTTTTAAAAAGCTACTCTCCCTACTTCTTCAACATGAAGCCCAGGATGCTCTTAGACTGCCTTCTGTAATCATCTCAAGGCGTATCAAAGAAGTTCTGGTAAATAATTAATTTTATTTTTAAATTTTTAATCAATTAATACATTTATTCTTTCACTTCTACAATAGAGATAGAAAGAGTAAATATTTTGAAGTCAAATAAATATTGGATCTCCCTTGTCCCCAAGGGAGATCCTGGATTTAGGCAATCTTTGAGCAATTTCATTTTCACAGGGGCATATCAGTCCATTTTTTTTGTTGTTGCAATAACAAAATACTCGGAACTGGATACTTTATAAAGAAAAGAGGTTTATTTAGCTCACAGTTTTGGAGGCTGAAAGTCCAAGATTGTGTGGTATCATCTGTTAGGCCTCTGGTGAGGGATCCCTTGGCTGGATCACAACAAGGCAGAGAAATTGAAAGAAAACCAATCGTGTGCAGAAGAGGTCAATGTCGGGTGGCTTTGCTTGATAACAACATGTTCTTGAGAGAGAGTTGACTCTGGGACAGCAGCGTGAAT